GCATTATCCGACAATACAGTGTTAGACATTGACAGCAGAGCAGAGAAACAATTCTAGTAGAGATTGTAACTTTCCATATTGTGATGATAAAGGCAGCATCGTATGCGAATTGAAACCAATGGACTGGTTGAAACATACGAACCTAACTGTTTGTATTTTCAGCTTTTATGTACTGTATAAAAGTATCAAAACATAGATTAAATAGTAGCAGACTGAGGCAGTCGCCTTGAAGCACACCACAACGAACTGGAAAAGCAGGAGTATTATAGTGGCTTGTGATGATAGAGGTTTTAAAATCGGTGTAAAGGCTAGAGATAAGAAGCTGTATGATGTCAGGGATATGATGATAAGACAGTATAGTGGGTATCAAATTATGATGTACTTCCCTAAAGGCATTTTTGAGATCAAGAAGAGTGACAACCAGCGAGCACTGTTTTGTACGTGCTTTGTCGATAATGTGAGCCATCATTGAAGTATGTTCAAGAGTGCCAGATATGTTAGACGTGAAGCCTTTTGAATTTGATGTTCAATATAACCATTTATTTTAAGAAAATCAAACATGAAGTCACGCAAGCAAGAAGTAAATATTTTTAGTGGTACTGACTCAAGCGTTATGGGCCTGATATTAGATGGATCTTCGGTGCTATCCTTTTTGTAGATTAAGATAGTGCATGCCTTTTTCCATTCAGTTGGAATATCTCCAGAAAGCCACATAACACGGAAAATTTCAGTAAGTTTACTACGTAGATAAGGACAATGTTTGAAGTCAATGATAGAGATCTTTTCAAAGGGGCAAGGAGAAGCAGAAGACTTCATTCGGCAAATTATTGTTGTAATTTGCTGATATGAAGGAGGCTCCGACGGAAAAGGGTGATCCGGCTCTTGAAAAGTAGGTATCCAAGATGGTATTGAAAAACATTGCGTAGGTGAGAGAGAGGAAAGAGCTTTTAGAAAATACTGAGTGCATATATCATTAAGAAATGTTGGGAGGTTGATGAAATGTTCTTGAAGATGTTTTTAACGTAACCCCAGAAATTTTTTGAGATCAACTTATCATGATCAGCAATATGAGTAGTGTTAGAAATCATACTTCACTGCTGTTGATTTTGTGACGCAGTAGATGAGAGACGTATTTAATTTCTAAAAGAGTAACATTGTTCATCTTCAGCAATTTTAAGTCCTTTTTTAATTCCTTGGCTTTTCGATCTTGATATTTCGCGACCAGATCGTTGGAAATATTGTCGATGGTACCACAAGTCTCTTTAAAATAGTTATAAATTGAGTTATTCATTGAGGTTATTGCTTTGTTGATGGTGCACGGTTTCAAAGGGAGATTTGCTAAAGTAGATTTGAAATATTCGTTTGCAATGGACCATTCGTTTTTCAAATTTGGGAGACGAACACTGGGTTAATTTCAAAAATACATCCAAATTGACGTCATCTAGAAACCCAATGCTGCTAGTGACTTTGTTGCTTTGAACTTCACAAACTAGGTCTTCAGAGGTATCAGGGTCGTTTTAAACCTTTTGTTCCTTTACAAATTTTTCCACAACAGCATTTGATCCAATTGTTTAGCGCAACAATGTCCTCATTTGTTTCTACGGAAATTAGAGGAATGTTGATAAACGGGAGCCGTTGGGGCCATTTTGGTGGTTGACGTCAAGCTTTCGTTTACATCTCCAAGAATGGCAGCCTAACGTTTTGAAATCTTGACCACAGAAAGAACAAACCACAAATGGTGCAACAATCTAAAGCCAATGCGAACGAATCATTTCTAAAAAACTCCTTGTCGTTTCAATAGTCGATTTTACTGTAATATACGAGTACAAAGTAACCAGGCTATAATGATACTTGCTTTTAAACGAGAGCCGTATACGGGAGCTCTGAACGCCACTGCTCAACAACCATAATAATAATAATAGTGGAAACTTTTCATTTTGAATTCCAGTTAAAACTACAATTACAAATCTCACTATTACAAGGTAATTTGTAACTGGCTAGCCTGTTTCTACAAAATAAGACTATTACAAATCGTAGTAAAGAGAAAAGAAAAAAAAACGTTAAAAGGGGAGTAGCTCTGGGTTAGTCCATGTTTTGTTCCTACAGCAAAAAATGTAATAGGTGGTACGAATGGATATCAAAGAAAGCTTAGAAATGAGATATCGTTTGTGTTGATCATCGATGGAAAGAGAGTCACACATTTCAAGGAATGAGCTGCATGAGTCGCCAAAGATGCCAAGAGAGCTGATGGAGAGATTTACAAATATGACAGATTTGAGCCTTGGTCTTAGATCTGAGACAAGGCGAGCATATTTTGAACGTTTCCTTTCTGCATTGCAGTTAAGGTTAGTTTCAAATCCTATCGTTAGTTCCAAAACATAAAGAATGTTTTCCTTTGTACGCAGAAGTAGATCTGGGCGCAGATTGTCTCCAGTTATGATGGATGGTAAGGAGAAGCCAAGTATATCGGCAAAAAGAGAGGATCCCTCTATTGCTTTCAAGGAGGTTGCAAGAAAATTTAGAGCAGAATTATGGCGCCAGGTATAACGACCTTGTTCGAGATAAACTTTGCAGCCTGCAACGACATGGAGTAAAGTTTCGGGAAGAAGGCAGAATTCGCAATCAGATAATTGGCTTAGGTTCCAAAGGCTTAGATTTTTGCGCGTAGGGAGAGTATTGTTCAGGTACTTGATGGTGAAGTTGAAGATGTTCGTGGGTAGGTTGCTCTGCACAATAGACCAAAGACCATTGAGCTTTTTAAGAGAGTGGTCCCAGAAAAACCATGGAGCCGCCTGCACGTAGACCATGCTTTTAACTTCTTGGGATCAAATTGGCTGTTACTGACAGACGCGTACTCCAATTAACCGTGTATCCACCAGACCAGCACTACAAGTTCCAGAGCAACCATTGATGTGCTGGAACAGGACTTTGCACACTTTGGTTATCCACATACGCTCGTCTCGGACAATGCTTCAAGTTTTACCTCAGAAGAATTCCAGGAATGGTCCAAGGCAAGAGGGATCGTTAATTTAACAGGACCTCTGTATCACCCAGCAACTAATGGTGCAGCTGAGAGACTGGTACAGACTTTCAAGAAGTCGATGCTGAAGTCAACATTACCTTTGAAAGCAGCCCTTCAGCAGTTCTTGATGCAGTATCGGAGAACACCACTAGCTTGTGGTTACTCTCCCAGTGAGCTGCTCAATGGACGCCAAATCAGGTCACCGATAGATATCCTGATTCCTTCTCCTGCGCATCAAGCACAAGGACGTCAGAATAAGCAAACAGTGAAGGCTGCGCAAAAGCTAGCTGGGAGGTTTAATCCACAATACAAAGTGGGTACACCTTGCTATGCTCTCTATTGTGGACCTCGACGAGATAAAGATGCACGATGGGTACCAGCAGTAATTACTAAGGTACAAGGAGCACGGACTGTGTCTGTCAGGGTTTATCCAAAGGGACCCATTTGGCGCAGACATGTAGAGCAGTTACGCCCGAGATACTTCTCAGTAGAGGATGCTGAGCCGGGGGATACACCAAGCATTGCAGTTCCAGCCGGTATATCAGAGATGGCAACACACAAAGAAACGAACGTTGAAAAAGGTCAAAAATTGAGAATTGCAGATCCAGGACCATATGTTAAACCCAAGAGACCTAACCCCCGAATGCCAACCGGTACCGAGTACAGCCGGGATAAGCCAAGAAGATCAAGACGTTTAAAAAAACAATAAACTTGATCGCCTAAGATGGAAGTTGTAGGCTAGCGGGGAGGTGTTGTAGTTTTAGAAAAGACGCTTTATTTAATCAAAATGCGTGAGTGAACACCATTTGTATAACGTAACATGCTTTTTCAAAAGCATTGTTCTTTGAGTTGTTTTTGTACGGTTTGGATGTTGAAAGTTTAATATTGGAAAACAGTTTTATTTCTGTTCTTATAAATCTGTTGAGGCGAAAAACACAACA